CATTCATTTTAAAGCAAATGACAGAATCTCATTCCTCCTTATGGTGGAACAATTTTCACATAGATACCTCACATTTTTTTATACACTCAACTGCTGATTCTACCTTAACTGTTGTGAGCAGCACAACAAATATCTATAAATTGAAATAATTAAAAGCACAATATCACTGGGTTTGTACTTATGTAACAGTAACACATCATTTATATTGGTAACCCACAAAATGAAATATTTGGGTATAAATTTAGCAAAATCTGTACAAGTTCTAAACAAGGAAAAACCATAAGGCTCTGATGAAAGAAATGAAAGAAAAAGTAAATAAATGGAGAAATATTCCATGTTTTTCATAGAGGGGGTTGTCTGTTCTAACCTGATCTACCGAATCCAATAAAAGGATATATAAAGAACTCAAAACAATTAGCGCCCCCAAATATAAAGACCCGATTCAAAAATGGGCATCCGAAATGAACAGACATTTCTCAGACAAAGAAGTAAAAGCAGCAAGAAAAGATTTGAAAAAATGTTCCACATCACTGGTCATTCAAGAGATGCAGATGAAAACAACACTGAGATTCCACCTCACCCCACAAAGAATGGCTGCTATCAAGAAATCACACAATAACAAATGTTGGCGGGGTTGTGGGGAGAAAGGAACCCTCCTCCATTGTTGGTGGGAGTGCAGACTGGTGCAACCACTATGGAAATCAATATGGAGATACCTCAAAGAGCTTGGACTGGAGGTTCCATTTGACCCAGCCATCCCTCTGCTGGGTATCCTTCCAAAAGAACTAAAAGAATCATATCACAGAGAAGTATACGCACCCATGTTTATAGCGGCACAGTTTGTAATAGCTAAATCTTGGAAACAGCCCATTTGCCCATCCGTTGGAAACTGGATAAAGAAGATGTGGTTTTTCTATAAAATGGAATATTACTCAGCCATAAAGAACAAGAAACTAGATTCATTCATAGGAAAATGGATACATATTGAAGATATACTCCTAAGTGAAATAAATAAGTCACACATGTGTAAATACCGAATAGTTTCCCTGGTGTGAATAATCTGCAA